AAAAAAAAAAAAAAAAAAAGTTGTTCCAGCTATTGACTCTATCCTTGCTCTATTGGAATCAGACTTTTCATTTTCTTGCGCCACCACGCCTGGCTAATTTTGTGTTTTTAGCAGAGACGGGGTTTCTCCATGTTGGCCAGGCTGGTCTCAAATGCCTAGGGGTTGGAATCAGACTTTCCTAGAGTGGGCCAGCCATGGTGCACAGGTTGCACTGGTGATTCTAATATTCACTCTGATTGAGAATCATTGGGCCTTGTAAATTATAAAGTGTCCATTGGCCTAATTTTTTTCTTTTTGAGTTATAATGGTTTCTCGACATTTGCAAAAATAAAGGGAGGGAGGAGTTAAACTTTTTTAATGAATGGAGGAGAAATGCAAAATTTTCTCATGTAGAAACGTCTCTGAGTATAAAATAAATTATTATTTTTCTGATGAAGAGAAAATAAGCGTTATGTTAATTGAGAACCATAAGACAATATAATTGTTATTCTGTTGATTTGATCATTCATATTTCTTTAGCAATTTCTAGAACTGTGTGCCAACCTGTGTTCTGGAACATGAGGTACTATTCTAGATGCTGATTATAATATATATAATTACTGAGCACCTCTTAAATATACATGTAATTTATTTTCACCTTTTTTGTGGTTTTGATTTTGATACTTCCAGGTTCTTCAGATAGATCCTGAAGTTACAGATGAGGAAATAAAAAAGAGGTTTCGGCAGGTACAGTACTATTTCCCTGTTTGAACTTTTTGAAAATGTATGAAGGACATGATTCTTTACCACTTGCTATTATTGACTTGATATGTTTGGGCCAAAATTTAACTTTTTTTTTAAGACTGTGTAACCGTTTTGTAAAAAGAGCTCATAATAATATATAAAACCTTAAATTAATGACCATAGCTTACCTATGAATAGAATGAATTTTATATCCAAATAGAATCTCTGCAGCTCCTTAATTAAGAGGGATAAGTATAAAGGAGAATAATAGAGCTTGCATGGAGTTACAACTACCAAACCGTCTGTCTTCTAGGAGGGAACATGTCAAATGATTCATAGCACATTTTTATCTTTAAGACCCCATTCATCTGTAATTTTATCTTTTATTTTTATTCTTATTTTTCAAGACAGAGTCTTGCTCTGTCACCCATGCTAGAGTGTAGTGGCGTGATCTCGGGTCACTGCAACCTCCACCTCCTGGGTTCAAGCGATTCTCCTGCCTCAGCCTCCCAAGTAGCTGGGATTACAAGTGCGTGCCACCACACCCGGCTAATTTTTGTGTTTTTAGTAGAGACAGGGTTTCCCCATGTTGGCCAGGCTGGTCTTGAACTCCTGACCTCAAGTGATCTGCCTGCCTCACGGCAAAATGCTGGGATTACAGGTGTGAGTCACTGCACCCGTCTGTAATTTTATCTTTTGCCAACTTAAATGAATACCCACGAGTTAACTGGTATAATATAAAGAGTGCTTTTTGAAAGTTATCCAGGAAAGGAGATCTATACCTTCTGATTCTTGCCCCTTCTTATATTTAATAACTGGAACTACAAAGTTTTAAAATAAACTTAAAAAAAATCCTTCCAGTTTTGACAGCTGAGTAACCCTCCCCCAGCCTTTTTTTCTAAAAATTATTATTATTATTATTTGAGACATGGTCTCACTCTGTCACCTAGGCTGGAGTGCAGTGGTGTGATCTAGGCTTACTGCAACTTCTGCCTCCTGAGTTCAAGCAATCCTCCCTCCTCAGCCTCCCCAGTAGCTGGGACTACAGGTGTGCATCACCATGCCCAGCTAATTTTTGTGTTTTTTGTAGAGACAGAGTTTCGCCCTCTTGCCCAGGCTGGTCTCAATTCTGGGCTCAAGCGATCCGCTGGCCTCGGCCTCTCAAAGTGCCGTGATTACAGGTATGAGCCACCGCACCTGGCTGCCTTTTTTTCTATGAGTTTAGTAATCATAGTCCCTATAATTTGTCTTTGCAAATTGGATTTTCTGTATATTCCATGTCTTCTTAAAAAACTTTCCTTAGCTTCTTTTTTTTTTTTTTTTTGAGACAAAGTTTCACTCTTGTTGCCCAGGCTGGAGTGCTGTGGCTGGATCTCAGCTCACTGCAAGCTCCGCCTCCCGGGTTCACGCCATTCTCCTGCCTCAGCCTCCCGAGTAGCTGGGACTACAGGCGCCCGCCACCTCGCCCGGCTAGTTTTTTGTATTTTTTTTAGTAGAGACGGGGTTTCACCGTGTTAGCCAGGATGGTCTCGATCTCCTTACCTCGTGATCCGCCCGTCTCGGCCTCCCAAAGTGCTGGGATTACAGGCTTGAGCCACCGCGCCCGGCCCCTTAGCTTCTTTATATTCTTATGTACTTCATATTTTAATAGGATCTGACCCGAGCTGAATGTAATTTTCAGCTTCTGCGTGAGATACTTGTTAATATCCAGTGGTGTGCTTATTTCTTTAGTACAGTAATTTTACCCATATTGCTGACTCATAGTCATTTTCTGATCTGCAGTTAAGCCAAGATGTTTTTTATCTTGGTCTACGTAATCATAACCCGTTATATAACTTTATAGCTTTTTTTCCTTCCTAAGCTCTCTACTCTATACTTATATTTAGCTTTTTTCCTTTTTCTAAAATTTCGAATTTTCTAATATAATCATTACTAATGATTCCCATATTAGTAAGCATTTAAGTTCACAGTCAAAACAACTTTTTATGTAGCTACATAAAGAACTTAATAAGAGTTAAGAACTCTTAATAAATCATTAATATGGACTGATAGTTAAGAGTGTGCATATTGGAGCTATATAACTAGTTTAAATCTTTACTGTACCACTTAACAAGCAGTGTAAACTTGAGCAAGTTACATTCAACCTTTCCGTGTCTGTTACCCCGTTTGTAAAATGTAATTATGGTGTCTATCCCATGAGTTTGTTGTAAGGATTTAAATGATGTATTACACAGAAGGCATTTAGAGTAAGTCTTGGTACGTAATGTATCCTCACTATATGCTAACTATTGTCAGCGTGTGTTAGTCTGCTAATTTCTTTACTTGCATGGTTTGTTTCATTCTTATAACAGCCCAATTAGATATAGGTACCTAGTATTATCTCATTTACAGAGCAGGAAGCTGAGGTAGAGATAGGTTAAGTGAGTTGCTCGAGGTTTCATAGCTAGTAGGTGATTGAAGTTGGAATTAGAACCCAGCATAATGGTTCCAGTAATGCTGAACGTAGCATTAGATTCCCATTGTTGTCATTCCCCAACATAGGTCCCTGGGTTCCAACTAGTTGGTTTCTGTCAGTGACAGTATGTCATGGTTTTTAACTGTGAGTATCTGAATTACCTATGGAAGTTCTTTTTTTTTTTTAGCTGGTTTATTATAAAAATTTTATATAGAAAAAAGAATGGACTAGCACAGTGGCTCATGCCTGTAATCCTGGCACTTTGGGACGTTGAGGCGGGCAGATTGCTTGAGCTCAGGAGTTCGTGACCAGCGTGGGCAATATGGTGAAACCCCGTCTCTACAAAAAACCGGAAACAACAACAACAAAAACCAAAAATTAGCCGGGCGTGATGATGCGTGTCTGTAGTCCCAGCTACTCGGAAGGCTGAGGTGGGAGGATCACTTGAGTCCAGGAGACTGAGGCTGCAGTGAGCTGGGATAGCACCATTGCACTCCAGCCTGGATGATAGAGCAAAACTCTGTCTCAAAAAA